AAAGTTTATAATACAACCCCAAAAAAACCGAATTCAGCTATGCGTAAAGTAGCAAAAGTCCATTTATCTAGTAGGTATACGATAATTACATATATTCCGGGTATAGGACATACTTTACAAGAGCATTCAATTGTATTAATTAGAGGTGGTCGGGTAAAAGATTTACCTGGAGTAAAATATCATGTAATTCGAGGTAAATATGATTTATTGGGTATTTATTCACGCAAAACATCAAGATCAAAATATGGAACTAAAATACGAAGAGTATAAAATAAAAAAATTATTTATAAATATGTTATTAAAAAAAGGTAAAAAAACCTGTTCAGAAAATATATTTAAAAATATTTTAATTAATTTAAAAAAAACTACAAAACAAAAACCTAATTTTATTTTATTTAAATCAATTGATAATTTATTACCTAAATTAAAAGCTATTAGTATCCCTAATAAAAAAAGAAATAAAAAAAAAAAAAAAGATCGTTATTTTTTAATGCTTTTAAATGAAGATAAACAAATTAAAAAATCAGTATCTTGGTTACTTTTAAATACAAATTTAAAAAATTTAACAAGTGAAATTATTCAAACTTCAAAAAATAAAAGTAAAACAATTAATACAAAAAAACAATATTATAAAAATATTAAAAAATTAAAATTTAATCTTATTTTTGATTAAATTATTAAAATTATTTATCAATAAATAATTAATTATTACAAGTTCTTAAATTATTATGAAAAATTATTATTATATTAATAAAAAAAATTTACAAATTGAAACAACAACAACAAATGATTCTAATATCAATAAATTTCAAAATGATTTAAAATTTTTAAAAGAAATCACACAAAATACACAGAATACACAAAATCACCCTTACCATTTAGTAGATCCAAGTCCATGGCCTTTTGTTATTTCATTTGGGCTTTTTTTTTTAACTTTTGGTGGTGCTATGTATTTACATGGTTATATAGGTAGTAATTTTTTAACTTTAACAGGTTTTTTAATGGTTATTTTAACTATGTATACATGGTTTCGTGATATAGTTAGAGAAGCTGTATATGAAGGTCAACATACAAAACAAGTACAATTAGGTTTAAGAAATGGTATGCTTTTATTTATTTTTAGTGAATTACTATTTTTTATTAGTTTTTTTTGGGCTTTTTTTCATTCTGCTTTAGCACCCACCCCAGAGATTGGGTCGTTATGGCCACCATTAGGTATTGAGACTGTTAATGCTTGGGGTATTCCTTTATTAAATACTATAATTTTATTATCATCAGGAGCAACAATTACATGGGCACATCACTCTATTGTATTCGGTGATAGAAAAAATGCAATTTTAAGTTTAATTATTACTATTTTATTAGCTTTTTTTTTTTCTTTAATTCAAGCATATGAATATATTGAAAGTACTTTTTCAATTTCTGATAGTATTTATGGTACTACTTTTTTTTTATTAACAGGTTTTCATGGTATACATGTTATTGTAGGTACTATTTTTATTATAGTAAGTACTTTAAGATTAATTAATCATCATTTTACAAAACAACACCATTTCGGTTTTGAAGCTGCTGCATGGTATTGGCATTTTGTTGATGTTGTTTGGTTATTTTTATTTGTAGCTGTTTACTGGTGGGGTGGTAATTAATTTATATTTAATAAATTAAAAATCTTTATGTTTAGTCCTTTAGAACAATTTGAAATTTTACCTATTTTTCAAATACCTTTTGTATTTACTAACGCTTCTTTAATCTTAATAATAGGTTTAAGTTATTTATATATTTTTACATGTATAAAAACTAAATTTATTCCAACACGTTTTCAACAAATTTTTGAAATGATTTTTAATGTTACTATTGAATTAACTTATTCAAGTATTGGTAAAGCGGGTAAATATTTTGTTTCATTAATTTTTGTTGTTTTTTTTTTTATTTTATTATGTAATTTAATTGGAATGGTTCCGTACAGTTTTACTGTGACTAGTCATTTAATTATTACTTTTACTTTAGCATTAACTATTTATTTAGGTTTTAACATAATTGGTATAAAAAAACATAAATTAAATTTTTTAAATTTATTATTACCTAGTGGTGCAAGTATAGCATTAGTTCCTATTTTAGTACCTATTGAATTAGTTTCATATATTTTTCGTGTTATTAGTTTACCTGTAAGATTATTTGCAAATATGATGGCTGGACATACTTTATTAAAAGTAATTGCAGGATTTGCTTGGACTATGTTAAATGTTAATAGCTTTATTTTTATAGCACATTTTATTCCTTTAATAATTATTGTTTTATTAGTTGGTTTGGAAATAGCCGTAGCTTTAATTCAAGCATATGTTTTTACTATTTTAACATGTATGTATATTAATGATGCATTAAATTTACATTAATGAAATATTCCAATAAAATATAATATTTTTGGAAAAGTAGCTCAGTTGGTTAGAGTGGTAGCTTGTCACGCTATAGGTCGCGGGTTCGAGTCCCGTTTTTTCCGTTTAATTATATTATATCTTAAAAAATTTTTATAAATATGTTATTAAATTATTCAAATATTTTTATATTTTTAGTATTAAGTTTATTTTTATCTATTTTAATTTTCATTTTATCTTTTGGATTAATTAAACAAAAAGATGATTTAGAAAAGTTAACAGCTTATGAATGTGGATTTAATCCTTATGATGATGCTAGAAAAGTTTTTGATGTAAAATTTTATTTAGTAGCTATTCTTTTTATTATTTTCGATTTAGAAGCTGTTTTTGTTTTTCCTTGGGTTTTAACTTTAAGTTCAAATTTTTCATGGGGATTTTGGACTATGATTGAATTTTTAGTTGAATTAGTTATAGGTTTTATTTATATTTGGTGTAGTGATGCTTTAGAATGGTAAATTGAAAAAATATAAATAAAATTTATTGTTATTATTTTAATAAATCTAATAATTTGGATTTATTAAAAAAAATTAAATAAATAAATATTTTATAAAAAAAAGATATATTTAATGTTAATAATATTTAAAAATTTAATATTAAATATATCTTTTTTTTATAAAATATTTATTATTTAAGTAGAAATATTTTCGAATATTTTAAATTTATTTTATTTTAATATGTTATTATTAACTTTAATTTTTTTACCTTTTTTAGGTTCAGTAGCAGCTGGACTATTTGGTTTTTATATTGGTCGTAAAGGTTCGGTATTTATAACTACGTTAACAACTTTTTTAAGTTGTATTTTTTCATTAATTATTATATATAATTCAATTACTAATGAATATGAATATATTATTTATATTTCAAATTGGATTAATAGTGGTTTATTTAATTGTAATTGGTGTTTTTTATTTGATAGTTTAACTATGATAATGTTAGTTGTTGTAACGAGTATTTCAACTTTAGTTCATTTATATTCATCACAATATATGGCCCACGATCCACATTTATCTAGATTTATGTCATATTTATCATTATTTACTTTTTTTATGATTATATTAGTTACTGGTGATAATTTTATGCAAATGTTTGTTGGATGGGAAGGTGTTGGTTTTTGTTCTTATTTATTAATTAATTTTTGGTTTACAAGATTACAAGCAAATAAAGCAGCTATTAAAGCAATGTTAGTTAATAGAATTAGTGATCTAATTTTACTATTAGGGGTATTAACTATTTTTTATAATATAAGAACAATTGAATATTTTAGTACTTTTGCTGCCATTTCTATTGTAAAAGATTTTAAATTTATTTTTTTTAATTATATTTTAAGTATTATTGATGTAGCTTGTATTTTAATTTTTATAGGGGCAATGGGTAAATCGGCTCAAATTTTTTTACATTTATGGCTACCTGATGCTATGGAAGGTCCTACACCTGTTTCTGCTTTAATACATGCAGCAACAATGGTAACAGCTGGTGTATATTTAACAGCACGTTGTTCACCTATGTTTGAATATTCAATGTTTTCTTTAAAAATAATTACAATTATAGGTGCTTCTACTGCTTTTTTTGCAAGTACTGTCGGATTAGTACAAAATGATTTTAAAAAAATAGTCGCTTATTCTACTTGTAGTCAATTAGGTTATATGTTTTTTGCTTGTGGATTATCAAATTACCCTTTAGCAATTTTCCATTTATCAAATCATGCTTATTTTAAAGCTTTATTATTTCTATGTTCTGGTGCAGTAATTCATGCAATGGGTGATGAGCAAGATATTAGAAAAATGGGGGGTTTAAGACGTATACTACCTTTTACTTATATAATGTTTTTAATAGGTTCATTATCATTAATGGGTTTCCCTTTTTTAACTGGATTTTATTCTAAAGACTTAATTTTAGAAGTAGCTTTTGCTAGTTTTAGTGAAACAGGTCATTTTGCTTATTGGTTAGGTACAATAGGTGCTTTTTTTACTGCATTTTATTCTACTCGTTTATTATTTTTTGCTTTTTTAAGTGAAACGAATGCTTATAAAAATATCATTAAAAATGCTCATGATGTTCCTTTAGAAATGGGAATTCCTTTAGGTTTATTAGCTTTTGGTAGTATTTTTATTGGTTATATTTCTAAAGATATGTTTGTAGGTTTAGGTTCAGATTTTTGGAATAATTCAATTTATATAAATCCATTCAATAATCAAATGATTGATGCTGAATTTTTACCTACTTTTTTTAAATTATTACCAGTTATTTTAAGTTTTTGTGGTTTATTTGGCGCTTTTTATTTATATTTTTTTAAATTTAAATTTTTATATAATTTAAAAATTTCAGAATATGGTCTTTATTTTTATAACTTTTTAAATAGAAAATGGTATTTTGATAAAATTTATTATGAATTTATTAATCAATATATTTTAAAAATTGGTTATAATGTTACATATAAAATGATTGATAAAGGTTTAATTGAAATGTGTGGTCCTTATGGGTTAACAACAATTTTTTCTTTTTTAAGTCAACAAATAATTTTACTACAAACTGGTTATATATTCGAGATAGACACTGTGTCGTCGCTTAATGATCCGAGCGTCAGCTGCAGACTTCGTCACAAAGAACTTGAAGCCCAGGAAGTGGAAGGGTTTGCTCGCAGTGGGGCCTTCCATGGTGTGCAGCACAGCGCAATCGGCGACGTCGCCATGCAGGAACTTGACCACAAGCGCCAGTTCGTCCTGCGTCAGCGTGACTAGCGTGCTCATGGCGTTCTCCACGAAACCTTGTCGGGTCCCAATGAGTAGCAGAGTCGGTGGGATCAATGTCGCTGCGGTAGGAGAGAAAATCTCCTGCTTCTCGACCAGCCGATGCAGCGAGTCGGCCAGTACCATGCCCATAGAACCGCCGTCGCGTTCGCGGTACAGCGTGATGTCATTTTTGGTGGATTTTGCCTTCCACCGGCGGTGGCCGACCGCGCCGTTCTCATCGTAGGCAACCCGTTCGAACTCGTGCACCGTATGAGCTAGCAGCTTCGATGGGCAGGTCCTTGCAGTCTTGATGCTCCTCAGGCGAGACAGAGAAGTGA